CAATAAAGACGAGTGTCTCGACTATAGATACATTAGGTGGGCTAACTCATTAAAATTCAAGAGACCTTCCTAAAGGCGTTTCCTTTTCGAAAGGATTAATCAAGTAGGGTTGTGAAACCAATCACCATGCAGCATAATTCTATAATAATTGAGGTACCCCAGGACGGCGGCTTTCGAACAAACTTCTTTCCGGCTGCATCCAAAAACCATATTCTGTAAAAAAGTGACTACTTATGTAGCATGCATTTTTTCCATTGATTTTCAATGCTCTTAAAAATTCAATTATATTTAATGGAAAACACGCATAAAATATTCATTATTTTGCTTATTCAGTAGAAAATTACGTCTTCTTTCAATGTTATACTCCAAGGAAGGGTTTAATTCAGTTTTATAAAAGTTTCTAATTGTGAGGATTTTATACCGTGAAATGGCCGTTCATAAATCGTCATGCATCTGCATTTACCAATGTGGCTTGTAAGGTAAACAATGTGGCTCAAATCCACTGTTTCACGTTACGAACCCCATATGGACTACTCGTAATACGATAGAGAAGTGTGAGGTTCCCCGTACGCGTAAATTATACGGCTTGTAGTTTGGGAACCCTGAAAGCAAGTGTAACGGCAGGTCGGGTTCAAAATTATTTCGGAATTGGAAAAGTTTTGTAAAACCGAATTAAACCGTTTCTTCGAGTACAAAATTGAAAGAAGACGTAATTTCCTACCGAATGAGTAAAAGAATGAATATTTATATGCATTTTTCCACGAAATACAATTGAATCTTTAAGGGCATCAAAAATCAATGAAAAATGCATGCTAAATAAGTAGTCATTTTTACGGAGTGTGGTTTGTGGATGCAGCCGGAAGGAATTTTGTTCGAAAGCCGGCGTCTTGCGCTAACCTAATTATTATAGAATTATGCTGCAAGATGATTGGTTTTTCAACCCTAGTTAATTAATCCTTTCGAAACGGAAACGCATTTCGGAATTTCTGTCGACATTTCATGAGTTAGCCCACTTACTGTAGCTTCTAAGAAGCCAAATATGACAGTCAATAAGTACTGCGTAGTCAACAAGAACTAACGCACACGTAGGATGGTACACTATCCCCTACACGAACCGCAGCGAAAACTGGTCCCGTTGTCGCACAGCTTAATGCTTTTAAAGGCTATTGACAGCCTTAAGCGTTACTGAAAAGCGATTTGAAAGACTCACCAGTGAGTACGTATTCAGCGCTTGCACAATTGAGTCGAATTCGCCGGACTCATTTCCCGTCAAGTTGTTAACAAAAACAATTGTGTCGAAACCAGGACTGCTCAGGTCCTCCACTGCAGACAACTCCCCTAGAACTGAGGAGACGCAAAGGAGGAAACAGAGGCCAAGTCCCTTCATCGTCGAGAAAAGACGTGGAAACACCGCTCCTGGCATCTGTGTGAGGTCGTGAGAACCGTGTAGACAACCGCTCTCGTGCTAGAATTGGCCCCGAGTGAACGCGATCGGTCGCGTTTGATGCAGTGTACCCTGAACTAAGGCAGGGTCCGGGCCATTAGTCCACTGCCACTGGTAAACAGTGTCCAATGTGACGCGCCCAGTGATCACTGATGCGCGTATTTGTGCCACAGGGAGGGGCATGGCGCCATTGTAGCGGGCAGCCATCGTGACCGGTCTGGCATCATTGTTCAAGACCTCGCTGCCTCAAGGTCATTCACCCCTTTGCAGTGAACCGTTCCAGACGCGCTGACCTGAAGTCATACGACCGACAGCTCAGGCACACCTGCGTCCGCACAGCCGCAGCTGCCCACGCGGCTGCTTGAACGCACCTCCCCCCTGCCACCGCATCCTAAGCCACTGGGACACCACCCCTCGGCAAATGCAACACACACTTACTTGACACCACTTGAGTTAGGCCCACGAGCCTACAAAACTGGATGCCACCACTGTCCCAAACTCTCAGGCATGACTGGACGCAGTCAACACCAGCCCTGGTTTCACCAGTGGCAACTGACGCCTAAAAGGACAACTTTGGGTTCTGTATACATTAAACCCCCCAGTTTGGTGCCTTCCGTCTTCTCCTTCCAACATGGGGGTTTGCCTTGATTATTGTAGTTCACAGACTGTACACAATCACACCGCCTGGCCACAACACCATTACGAACCTGTGCGATTTTTATGTCTTTGTGAATACAAAGCGCATGAGGAGAATTTAAAGCGTACCTCAAGTCGGAAACGGAGTTGACGCTGACGCCAAAGAGAACCAGGTCATACGAAGTGGCCACGTGATAGCGCAACTGAACGCACAAGTGACTGCTAGTCAAGTTTGGCCGAAGTTTTAACCTAACGAGAACGCCGTGCCTGGCCAGGTAGTAGTTGGGCTACTCGTCCCGTTGTGACTTCATCTAGAGTCATACAGGCAGTCAAATGGCCAATGCCACTACGCGCAGAATGAGATAGCCCACAGGGACAACGGAAACTGGAATGGCCATTTCTGACTTTTTAGCCGTCATTCAACCACTGACAACCAGAACATCTTCTCACTTCTATATCTTCACAGAGTCCACAGGCGATGAATGTATACGATTGCCTCAGCAAGGGGTCCCTACATTAACGCCCTATTCTTTTGCTACTCTATCCCTATCATCATCATCATCATCATCATCATCATCATCATCATCATCATCATCATCATCATCATCATCATCATCATCATCATCATCATCATCATCATCATCATCATCATCAC